ATGTACTCACATCCTCTTGTTGGGGAAGTTCTTGAAGCACCATCCAACAAAGGTTCAGGATCCATCGTTCCAAGCACCTGTATCAGTGCATAGGCAGGAGCACGAAGAAACAATTAGGTTCTATTATACTAACAAATCTGGGAATAATCAAGTAAGTTATCTTCTAGGTATCATTAGGATCCAAAATGACTATGACATGAATCTTATAGTTTTATGGTTCCACAGTGGTAACAAAATTGTGGTCCAAGAGTAGATCCTCCATATCAAATTCTCATGGTTGTATGTTATTCGAGACCACTAATGTACCTTTAATGTCCTCGGCCTACTTGAGATTTTAGGATCACCCGATCCACTTTCCGAGCTATTAACTAGATCAGTAATACGAATCAAAAGAGCAATCATAAATTAGTATGATTCAGGGTATAATCTAATCACCATAAAAAAAAAAGAAGGGAAAACAACAAGCAATTTTAATTAAGAAGTAAACAAGTGGCTAATGTAAACTAGACATGAAATATCAGTTGCTTTCATTTCACAACAGGAAACAATAGTTTTTACTAACCGCAGATTAAAAATAAGTGTGCTAGTAATGTTCACTGCAAATCAACAACAATACGGCTTCAAGGCCACTTCTGAAATAATTTGAGGTCCCGTGGATATGTAATTGAAACATGCAACAACTAAACCACAACAAAAGTTCGATACAGAACAAGAATGACAATATAAAAAAGCCAAAAAAAAAAAAATACCATTAGAGTTTCTTAGCACCAGACCCTTCTCTATTGCGACAGGAGATATGCTTGATTTTGGGTGTTCATTTTCAACAATGTCAATAACCTCATCCTCCATTTCACTCCCTGCAATGAAGATACAGTAAGAAAATGTCAATCCGATCAAAGAGCCAAGTAGAAAATTTTCTCACACAACAAGTAGGCTGTAAGCTAACCATCATAATGTTGCATTGATGAATTCTCTGGCACTGATCCATGCAAAAGCTGAAATAAATAAATATTTCTCCATTAGCAGTCATGGTACTATTATATGATTCAAACATGAGATATAGAAGAGAATATACCTCTATCTCACAGGGCTCAACACTTGACTTTTTGTTCTGGCTCTCTCGTAAATGCTCGTCTAAGAGGACCCGCAACTGAAACAAGGCGTGGTCACTGAGATCACTAATGTCAATCTCAATTTCATCATCACCAATCACCCCTTCATTTGAGTTGTGGTCTCTCAAGAAATTTAATAACTGTACAGGGAAGTCAGTCAAGGACTCCAAATCCTTACCGAGCTTGAGTCTATCCTCCTCAGTCATAACCCGTTTTACAGGCTCTAAGACACCCTCACAGTCCACTGCGTTCGTCTTCCTCTTCTTAACCATAGGCACAGGCATTACAATATCTTTTTCCTCGTGAGTATTCGAGTTACTCAGTTCATTCTGAGTTTTAGTTACAGATAATTTCTTCTCGAGAGTCTTCCATCTCACTTCGAAAAACTTGCAAAGTGTATCAGCCATGACATAAACATCATTACCAGGTGGATTATATGTCATTGCATTGCTGAAGGTAAGCCGGACATCAGCAGCAAACTCTGATGGGCAGGAATACGTCCCCGAAGTTAACTTATTCTTCACAGTTCCTAAATCCATTGGATGCTTAATAACAGTAAAATAGTCCTGTAAATTCAGCTTGACAACATCCACAGGAGTATTAAACACCCAACCATACTGATGTGACATCAATCGTTTAAGCAGCGCCTCGCATTGCTTCATTAGAAGCATAACTGCGGTGGTGATAGGAGTCGGTTTAGGAGCACTTGTGGGGATCACTGTCTTTCCTGGCCCTGTGGAGCATCTCGACTTTCCAAAACTCTTGGCTCTACCCAAACTAGTGACACCAATTGATCTTGAAATCTCGAAATTACTCTGGACGAATCGTATCTGTTCAAGCTCTCGTCTTAGCCTACGAATCAACTCCTTCCTTTCTAATGATGACATTCCAAACAATGGTAATACGATTTTCGAGACACCAAACGTCTCAGGGTCAGTATAGTTTACCCCACTGAACTTTCTTTTGGAACAATTTGAACCCTCAGAGGCACTACTAGGGCT